TTTATTTCATTCTACACATGCTTCTGTTACTTAGGAGTACATATGTTAAAAAAAAAAAAAAGCTTCTATCCTCAATAGAGTCTAGTGGGAAGACTGACATGAGGACAGTATGTTCTACATACATGCTGTCATGAAGATGTGTACCAGGAACAACAGGAACCTAAAAGAGAGCCCCTTAGTCTATCTTAGGAACCTGGGAAAACTTCACAGAGGACAAGAGTATGGACTGGGGCTTGAAGAATGAGAAATAGTTTTTTCCCAATGAATTAAACAAGAAAGGAAATTACAGATGAAGGAAAAACATAGTTGAAACTTCACAAATAATTGATTGAGTATAATATTAAAAGTACAAAGGTGGTAAAGGGAGACAAACAGACAAGGAACAAATATGGAGAGCCTTGAAATACCATGTTAAGGGTTAAAATGGAAAGAGGAAATAGAAATATTAAAGAATTTTTAGCAAAACATTGATGAGATTTTGCAATCTGTATTACTGGAATGGGCCAGGGAATGGGCGGTAGAGAATAGGATGAAGAGAATGAAACTTGAAATTAGCCAAGTAAGAAAGTATAAAGAGGAGAAAAACAACTACCCAGTTTTAGGCCTGGCTGACAATATTTAAAAATAGAGTTATCTTAAGGATATTTGGTCTTAAGGGAAAGCTCCAAGTTTTAAAAGTGAGTTTTATTTGACAGTGGGAGGCAGTCAGAGAACCAAAACTAAATCTCACTGAGATGTTGCTGTGGGAGTCATTTACATTGAAGTGAAAGTTGAAACCAAGAGATGAGGACTATCTAGGAAAAATGAGTTTATGGCATATAACACAGAGAAGTTACATCACAAAGAAACGGGAGAAAAACTACCAGGGAAGCGCCATGGGAGTCAAGATACAGTTTCACAAAGGGTGGCAAGCCAGGTGTCATTGCACATGCCTGTAAGTACCAGCTACTAAGGAAGCTGAGGCAGGGGGATTGTACGTTCAAGGCCAGCCTGGTCAACTTAATGAGACCCTGTCTCAAAATAAAAATTAGGAAGTGATTAGGGATGTGGCTCAGTGGTAGAATATGCCTCCATTCAATCGCTAGTGCCACAAAAAAGAAGGGGGAAGATGGACCAAAAAAAGAAAAGAAAAGAAGGGCAGTAAATAATAGGGCCTAATGTTGAAGGGAGAAAATAGGAGGGAAAAAAGATCAAAGGCTAAGAGAAAACCTTTTATAGAAAAGGGTAGGGAAGCTGGACATGGTGGTACACACTTTTTCTTTCTTTCTTTCTTTTCTTTTTCTTTTTTTCTTTTTTTCTTTTTCTTTTTTTTTTTT